AAAAAGTGGTAAGAACAATGAAAGTATATTCAAAATAAAAGGAAGAGACAAGAATCAATAAACTAGTTGAGTTTCTTAAAAAAGCACGAAAGATGGCAAAACTACTAAATTCCTATTTTAGCTCAGTTTTTTTAAGCAAAACAATATATGCTCTCTTCTTAACGGGAATGAAAGAGCAAGATTGGCACTTATTATTGACAGAAAGATAGACAAGGAATATATAGCTATTTTGAATGAATCAATATCTCTAGGGCAGATTAATAAACTAAAGAAACGGAAGAGTACCAAGATCATATGAATACTTATGAAGATAGCATGCATTAATGGCAAGACATATCTTCTGTTTATCCACATTTAAAGTTCATAAGAACGGTCATTATCATTCAGCAGATAGCATTAACTTGAGCTACTGAATTTTGATTGTAGGTTGTAGAAAACATCATAGTAATCTACAACACAGTATTAGCATTCTTGGTTGTCCAGTATATATTCCCTACTATTGACTATCTTTGTTGTCATATTCAAAGCTCCAGTCTGTTAGACAGTTGGGCTATATGCTATGATATTTGGTAATATCTGCTGTCAGGATTTCCATTGATTGACTGGCACCTTGCTGGCATCCTGCCATCAAAGGGGAAGGAAGAGGGGAGGCATTTGGGGCAATCCACACCTGTGTATCTAATGGTGGGAAATGGGGAGAGGGAGCTGACATGTGAGGAAGACCAGAACTGTTTGTACCAGTTATGCCAGGCATCTTCAAGAAAATAACTGGGATTTGCAAACTTCTATCAGCAATTCATCCCCTCGTTCGCAGAAATCGCCCTCCCCACCACGAACTTGCTAAAAACAAAAGGAGGGGGTGGATGCCCAAGCCCAGCCAGTTGTTCCAATGGGCAAAGGAAATGTCAAATAGCGTTGGAGAAACTTAAATGCCTGTTTGCGGCCAAGCTGGTCCTAAAGCACCCAGACCTGAACGCTCCTTTTGTCATCCAAACTGATGCCAGCAATGTGGCCGTGGGGGCAGTCCTCATACAAAAAAACCAGGAGGAGGCCCTGCAACCATGCGTCCAAAAAAACTCACCCCACATTTCAATTTCTGCTTCACCTTCCTGCAACCAACATCTTTAGTAAAAGTTCTTTTCACTTTAATCAGTTGGAGTCAAGAGTCTGCTTTCCTAAATGATTACCTTGGGGCAGGTCTGACAATCTGGCAAATGTATGAATCAGTTTGGAGCCAGCTACTGTTCTGAGTATTGTGGTTGTCCTGTGAATCTAGTAAATGTTGTTATAGATACTTTGCCAGCATTTGACAAGCTATTAATATGCCATTCAGTAGTTAATGCAATGATCAGGATAAATGTAAGCTGGTTCCATAATCACTCAAAAGTCATTATTTCTCCAACATAGCTCTGATCTCAGATTCATCAAACTATCTGACCTATATTCTGTCAAACTGAAGAGCATACATGTTGTCAATTCAGCTGGCATTCAGATGGCATCTCTCTCTGCTTGACAACTCTTTGTAAGTCTTTATATCAACAGTAGAAGTACAGGTAGTCCTCAGCTTATGACAGGTTACTTAACCAGTTACGAAGGACTCGAAAAGGTTACTTATGACCTGTCCTCAAAGTTACAACTTCTGTACCACTTCTACAGTCATGTGATTGCATTTTGGGTGCTTGGCAACCAATTTGCATTTATAACCGGTTGCAGTGTCCTGCAGTCACATGATCACACCCATTGGATAGACTGGATTAGGATTTATAGCCATGTAATTTGCTTAATTACCAGGTGACTCATTTATGACCATCTAAAATGGTCATAAAATTGAATCCAGTCATGTAGTGACTTGATTTATGATCACAATGACTTATGACCAAAATTCCTGCCTCATTTGTGGTCATGAGTCAAGGACTATCTGTAGATTTAACTGTGCTGTGGTCAGCTTTTTTGCTCTTAATTTATGAAACTGGAATATTACCAAACTGAATAGTTCTTGAATTCTTGTAAGGAATATTTGGATTTATTGCTTTGCTAGATATCAGTAGCTCAGTCGAGCTGTTAAAGACTTGAGCAGAAAGTGGTTCAACAGTTCCCTAGTTTAACAATATCTTTTTAAGACAAATACATTTCATAATAATAACACTGACTTGAAGACAAATAAAAAGTTATGTCACAAAGATGATTTGATTAGTTTTCCTGCATGTTTCAAAGGATTGGACTAGATGATCCTCATAGTCCCTCCCAACTCCAAAATATTATGATTCATTGGACTTGTGTTATTTGTTGTTTCTATTTTAATTATAGTTAGGGAGCTGACAAACTGTGATTGTCTTGTACTTCTCTTTCAGAAGTTGTTGCTGTAGTTACCAAAAGCTAGAACCAAGTTGCATGAATTATTTATTATGGCCTAACTAAGCATTTTTCAGATTTTTATATACATATTTTAAATATTTTTAATGTAGTTATGGATCAGGTAATTACAGCTGGATTTTTTTCCTTTCTGGGCTATAATACAGTTTCAACTAATTTTTATTCTCCTACATGGAAAATGCTATAAGTTTAGGCACTAAAGTTTAATTTGGTAGTTAAATTCTTTGTAACAAGAATATACTTTCTTCAGTTCAGATTTATTCCTGACATGTTTCTTAGCACCCCTCTCCTTAGTTGATTGGAAAAATAATTGTATTATAGGTCCATGTGAGAAGAAAAACAGAGGTCATTACAACTTGGTACAGAATATCTGAGATAGCCAAATAATTTAAATTTTCAGAACAAATCTTAATTTAACAGCTGCCTTTTTTACTAACTGCATTAAGATGTGCTATATTAATATTTGAGCCAAGAATATTACAAACTGAATTATTTCCTCACCTATCAGGATGCCTTGTGGAATTCATCAAGGGTAGCTTTCATCTCCTCATATAGTAAATTAGATCTGGGGACCATTTACTTGTCTTATTGGACAATTGAAGGATATTCTGAATACAATACAATATTCTGAATAATACAATATTATTATTGCATGCTGATGATATATATCTGATTGATAATTATCAAAGTTCTATATAAAATTAATTGATATAGTATGGACATTTGATAAATTATCAGGTCAATTAATTGAAATAAGTTTCACATACTCCCCGTAGGCTCTTATCTATGAAAATCTGGAGTCTCATAGGTTATTTAAATTTTAAATAATATTTTGAAATAATTCACATAATAAGTATTTATTTAGAAAAGTAAATATTTGTTTATATTACTATTATGCAAATGCAATGTCACTTAATATACTGCTCACAAAAATAAAGGGAACGCAAACCCCTTCAGTTCCATGGTAAAATGTTCCCTTTATTTTTTTGAGCAGTATATATTTTGTCCAACTGATTCTAATAACATCATAATCTGAAGAAGCAAACTCTTTAAAAGAGCTCAGACCTTAATGGCTGAAATAATGAGAATCATCTAGTGAAGCTTTCCATCTTTAGTACGGACATGATCACAAAGTCAGTTATACTTGATCATATGTTAAACAGTTTGAATATTTCTGCGAGGAGTCCATTTATGCATATCTTTTTAAATATAGAAACATGAACAATGGATAGTCAGTTACTTTTTGTTGCCTCTAGGTTTATATCAATTAATTAGTTTTACTCCTAGTACAGTAATCCTGACATTGGAGGCATCAGTTACACTATGGAGGAAGCTGTAAATTCATTATGTAGCCAACTAATAGCACTGAAGAGTTTATATCAGAATATGTGGCTTTTCTGCCTCCAGGAGGAAAAGTAAATGTTTATTATAGTCACCACAGATGGGGACTGCAGCCAAGAAATTAAAACACGCTTGTTCCTGGGGAGGAAAGCTATGGCAAATCTAAACAGCATAGTAAAAAGCAGCGACATCACCCTGCCAACAAAAGTACTTATAGTCAAGGCCATGGTTTTCCCTGTTGCAATGTATGGCTGTGAAAGTTGGACCATAAGAAAGGCTGAGCACAAAAGAATTGAGGCCTTTGAACTATGGTGTTGGAGAAGACCCCTGCGAGTCCCCTGGACTTCAAGGCGACCAAACCGGTCAGTCCTAGAGGAGATCAACCCTGACTGCTCTTTAGAAGGCCAGATCCTGAAGTTGAAACTCAAGTACTTTGGCCACCTAATGAGAAGGAAAGACTCATTGGAGAAGAGCCTAATGCTGGGAAAGATTGAGGGCAATAGAAGAAGGGGACAACAGAGAATGAGGTGGCTGGATGGAGTCACTGAAGCAGTAGGCGTGAGTTTAAATGGACTCCAGAAGATGGTAGAGGACAGGAAGGCCTGGAGGAATGTTATCCATGGGGTTGCGATGGGTTGGACATGACTTCGCAACTAACAACAACAATAGTCAGAGGAAATCTATTGCTATAGCATAGCCTTAGTATTAAGAATGAGAAGACCACATTCACTTTGATTTAGCAAAAACATATAGTCACTAACATGGTGACAGTACAAAATATGGGGTTTTTGTAGGCAGTGTTCAGGATATATATGTAGGATCTGGTTGGCTGTATTAATAGTGCAACATTCCTTCTTTGTTCCACTGTTGGTCTTGACTGGGAGAAAGAGAAGTAGGGATTTGTCATCACTGTATTAACTCCCACTGCCCAAATTACATTATTGAGATCAAATACGTTTCAATGCTGGTATGAACAATAGAGATGACCTTTCTGTGAAGGGCAAAACAGTAGTTTGGGCCCTGCCTAATGATGCAAGGAATAGGTATAAATTTCAAAGGTAATAGAATCTCAAGCCATCCTAGGAATTCTGGTAAAATGTCTGTTTTATCCTTATTACTAATAATAAAATGTCAAATAACACAGTCTGTAAACTAATGGCATTAATACCATAGTTTAATAAAATAATATTGCTTTTTGATAGTATCTCTTTAAATACAGTATCAGGTATCTCATTCTAAATTCCAGGAAAGAACTCTTTTTATTAACTATTTTAATTTTTCTTTAGAGACATCAAACACAACTGACTGGAACTATGGTAGGTACTTTTGAAATAAAGAAGAAAAAATGTGTTTTTTGTTTAATGTCATTTTTACAATATACTTTTAAATTTTTTTACTCTTCGGTTTTGTTTGAGGTGGTGATATAATAATGGTTCTCTACAATAATAGCCAGTATGACTGTCTTTCAAATGTTAACTGAGTTTGCATAGTCTGCTAAATCAGGTTTGTTCCTCTGTTTTATAAAATGAACTACAATGGCCACTTTCGTACAGAAACAAATAAACCATGTGATGGTTTAAAATGATGAGTGGGTTTCTGTTAAATTTTTGTTTCTCAGCTCCTTGCTATTTTTTCTAAGTCCTAAATGAAAAAGAGGGATATTAATCCAATAATTAAATGAATAATAAGCTCCAAAAGCACTTGGTATTGTTGAATATTGCTTAAATTAATAGTTTAATAATTTCATACCCCTTTTTTATGGAAAATAGCCATCTGATGCTAATTGCTTTTTTTGTGCTGGTGTGTATAAATTATTTATTTAAAAAAATGTATATGGCCACCTATCTTAAGCAACTCTGGGGGGGGGGGGGCTCAACTACAGTTAAAAATTAAATGTAGAAATAAGCAAATTTCTATAATTGAAATTCTATGATTTCCAAATCTCAATTCCCTACTCAGTGAAGGAATGCAAATTGATATTGTATATCCCAGGCTGATGCTGTCCAGCGTCTGCTTGGACAGTACTTTATTAGCTTTTACTAGCTTCCTAGTAGGGGCGTTGTCTTACCTGAACGCCTTTTCTCAGTACGGAGATGGAGAATTCACCAATGGGTTTTCACTGTCTGCCTGCTCTTGAGACCAAGTAGCCAAACTTGCCACGCCCCTCTTGCTAGGAGATCCAGTCTTAACGAGGGCGAAGCGCCTGCAGATGAACTTGACATTGGCTCTTAATTCCCTAGAATGGCCTATCTGACCTTAGGGAGGGTGTGAATTCTCCATCTCCGTACTGAGAAAAGGCGTTCAGGTAAGACAACGCCCCTTCTCCAGTACAGGAGATGGAGAATTCACCAATGGGACATACCAAAGTCCTACTGTCCCGATGGGGGGGAAATAGATAAGGCCGGAACGGGGTTCACAGAGACTACTTGGTGAAGGACCCTCCTACCAAAGGAGGCGTCCGTCGAAGCAAAACGGTCGATCTTGTAGTGGCGTACAAATGGAGATGGTGAAGACCATGTCGCAGCTCTGCAAATCTCCTCGATGGACGCCTGAGTGGCCCAAGCCGCAGAGGTTGCAGCACTGCGAGTGGAATGGGCCGTAAGATGACTCGGAGGCAGTAGAGAAAGAGACTGGTACGCTTCCGTGATACAATTGCGGATCCACCTGCCAATGGTGCCCGCTGAAAATTTCTGTCCCATGGTAGCCGACCGGAAGGATACAAAGAGTGCTTCCGATCTACGGAAAGGCTCCGTACATTTGAGGTAACGCCTCAATGCCCTGCGAACGTCCAGTGTATGCCACTGCCGCTCCAAGTCATGTGTCAGATCTGGACAAAAATTAGGTAAGATCACTTCCTGTGTTCTATGGAAAAGAGAATTCACCTTTGGGATGAATGAAGGATCAATCCGCAGGACAACCCTGTCACTGTGGAAAATGCAAAGGTCATTCCTGACCGATAAGGCGGCCAGTTCAGAAATACGTCTGGCCGAAGTAATGGCTATCAGAAAAGCCACCTTTAGGGAAAGGTGCTTCAATGAAATTGTCGCCAAAGGTTCAAAGGGCGGTTTTGTGACAGTGCGAAGGACTCTCGGTAACTCCCAAGATGGAAACCTGTGAACAACGGGAGGTCTGGTGTTACACGCCCCCTTAATAAAAGCACGAATCCTGGGATGGTGAGCCAAGGGAACCGAATCCTGACACAAGAGAAGAGTGGACAGAGCGACCACCTGTCGGCGAATAGTCGCAGGAGCAAGGCCCCTGTCCAGGCCATCCAATAAGTAATCTACTATTTGGGGTATGGTCAGGTTGGAAATGACAATTTGTCGCTTCCTGCACCAAAGGCAAAAATTCTTCCAAGTGGAATCATAGATGCGATTGGTCGCTGGACGACGTGCAGCCTGAATAATGGTGATGGCGCGGGA